TCTATCTATCTATCTATCTATCTATCTATCTATCTATCTATCTATCTATTTATCTATCTATCTATCTATCGATCTATTCATCTTTATATCTATATATCTATCTCTATCTGTACTTGATCTCCCAAATCCTCCTCTCCCTTTATTGCTTTCAGTCCGAAAACCCTTATTATCAGGCAAAGACTACATTTTCCGATGCACAGCCAAATGCTTTTCATAATAGCCTCTCATTTCTTACTCCTCCTCCTCCTCTTCATCCTCTGCATCTCGGCTTCTTGTACGCACGTTTAAGAGCATGTATATTATTGTTTGCGTGTTCATACTCTCCTGCATATCTGAGCGTTTGGCGCATGCTATGCTGTCCTGGCAGAAAGGCCAAGGTAAATATTGCCTTATGATGATTTGACCGAGTGACGGTTTGATTGATGCCAAAAGGCAAGTCATTCGAGGCGTTGTGCTGATTGCGTAACCGCAAAACCGGCTGAGATACAGAATCGAGAGAGTGGGCGAATCTGCCTATGCCGTGCAAATAGTGGACGGGAAGAGATTGGACTCTGTCTGAAGCAGATGGGCTCGGGAAGACAGGTGAAATGGACCCTTTCAATGCCTTGCCCGCCCCGAAGTAGCATCCGATCGCATGAACTTTGCCTCGAGGGTGCATGGACTTCTATCAGTCTCCTCGGTTTGCCCAGCCATGGACGCACTGAACGCATCGCAACCGGTTGCCAATGTTACAGCAGATGGTTAGGTCAGTTTAGGTCGCTTAAGTCATGTTAAAGCATTTCGATTGAGTTTTTTCCCGGAATCCCATCAGTTGCGATGCCTGCGTCATTTTAAAGTGGACTTTTCGATTATACAAATTCTAATAGTAGATACTACTTAATTGACACATGAGTAGTGTTCGAGACCAACAGTAATTCTAGAAGAAGATGATTTAAGGACTGATCGTTTTGTCTTCCCCACAATCAGATAACTTGACTGGGCTACACTCTTGGCCTCGTGACAGCGCATCATTCACCGATGAGACGATGAGGCGAAGTCAACTCGGCGGAAAGACAGCACATCGGAAATGGATATGCTATAATTGGAAAGAAGCCTGCTACTCTTCTCATCGCGAACAGTCCTGCTATTACCAGTGTCTTAGGTGAAACCATGGCAACTGGGGAGTAGTTAAATCACGTAATTACAGAGTGCCGGTGTCTAAGTGAAAGTGTACATATGCTGGGCGACACGCGACAAGAACTCGACGAGCATCATATGCTGCAGTCGCGATTGAATTGCAAAATTGCACGCCTTGATAAAATTAGTTAAAATTATTTCACAATTATGATTAATTAAAAGAAACGGAACCCAGATACCATGTTTATCAGTAATGTAGTCAATTGTATATTTAAATTCAAGTTGGCCTCACTGACATTCCCACTCACAACTTGTCAGTTGCCAGGGAATTGGCTGGCCTGGACTCTGGAGGACCAACCAAGTAGGGAAAATGAGTCCAGTTTGAGTGGAGGCAGTACCAATTATCAATGAAGACAATTTCTTTGCCGTCACAACTCCCGAGATATCCACAGTTTGACTTCTTGTGAGGGAGTGCATGTATGGAATAATTTTGGTAACTGATAATTAGCAAATAATAATAATTAGTAAAATAGATTTTTTGCATTTTATAATGATTCGTAATATTTTATACCATTAACACTTGTTAGCTATAAGGATAATACATAAATAATAATAAAATAACAATTTAATTCTTAACAAATAATAATAATATTAATAACAATTAGCACTTACTCATTAGTAATAATCAATTAATAATGAATAAGGCGTATAACTAATAAAAAAAGAGAGATAAAAAAAAGTAAATGTTTTATTTGAAAGATAGCAAATAATACAATAAACTTGTCTGATTTGTGGATTCTAGCTACTACTGATGTCGTGTGAGTAGAAGATCGAGACAAAAGTAAATAATTTATATTAAAAGTCTAAATATTGAGAATTTGCTTATTATCCAAGTGTTTTAGCTTCTAGTCCCGGTTTACATTTCCAACGACAAGATGCCTGTGCGATTATTCATTCCGAGTTGCAAATCTTTGTGCTCTCTCAACCGATCACCTTGTCCCATTATTCTTTTTTTGCGTCCAACCAGCTCAATACAGCACGTTTATGTGAACCAAAGGGAGAGCCTTATTGGAAAATATAATGTCTAGCTTTCGGTACCATCACGTATGCTAAAGTAAATCTTGATAACTACAGATCGCCATCCAAGTTATTTTGATGGTTTCGTTGAAACGTAAACTCCGAGAACTGTGATGTTTGGGGCTGGCCGGAAATGAGGCTGAACTCTGTCGGTGTGTTTGATGACAACTGGCATTAGCGATTGGTTTTAATCTCCACTTGATCCGATCAAGGCTTCCGTCCCGCCAACTTTTAGGCCACGGGCAATATTGTTTTTCGTAAAACCGCCCAATCCACGTTTGCTGAAGACCTAAACTTTGCATTTGGTTTCGAATTGGCGTTTCTCATCTGTCGTCACTTTGGCGAAACGACCGTCTTCTCATCCGAGTCGGGCAGAGTAACTATGATGGCCATCTACAGCAGGTCGCGTTATCCAAGAAGGCTCTGGTTCGAGGCACAGTTTTAGGGGATGATGTGGAGGCTGTAGACCAAAATGAACTATGCTCACCGAGAGCAGGAAAAAGGCATTCGAAATGAATCCTTCCACGGCTTTCGAGATGCAAAAGAAATAAGTGCATACATTTTTCTTTGGGAAGCAGGTTTTTCGAGAATACCAGAAGCTTATTTATATATCAATTGTATTCACACCATTTAATTTAAAGTGATTATTTTCCCATAATCTGATGAGTAAGCATTATGTTTTCGTTGAGTTTCACATAGTTTCACCAACTAAGCAAGATATAAGACTAAATAGTAATTAAAAGTATAAGACAGAATAAATTTGAATTTATTTCGAGGTGACATTGTGTTCAATGTGAGAGTAGTCGTGGATTCCATATGAATTTAGTAGATAATGGAAATAATAGTAAATATATTTACTTAATTAAAATTGATCAATTTATTTTAGGCATTTATGCTATTTTATATTAGGCAGTTGAATCTAGAAAAAAAATATATTGAGATCATTCTGAAAAAAGATAATCAATCCCATTATTCGCGATGAATAAGATCTAAGATTAGATTGCTCACTTAATGAGAGCCAAAGAATGCAGTAAGGCAGAATAAAATATAATGTAGTAGACTTTATTTGATTATAATAATAATGGGGCACTGCGAGCGCAAGTTAGGCATAACCCAAAAAAATAAATCCAATCAAATCGAAGTCGATTTGAACAAACCGAATTTGCATACTTCCCAATGGAGCACCAAAAGCTTAGTAAACTAATATTAGAGAATTAGAAGAGGAAATATATATTCCAGTTACGAGAATATTAATATATTCCTATCGATTTGATTGAATTTGAGTAAACATAATATATCCAAAAATCGAGTAAATTGCTAAAGTGTTTTGTAAGTTTACGTAACTCGGTAACGGCACGCTCCTCTTCGCTGTCAGCCGATTTGTAGACTTTTATTTCAGCTTAGCCACAGCTTTTGTCTCGCCACAAGCGAACCTGACAAAATAATTGGCAAACTCTCTTTCTCTGGCACGGACAGACGAGAACAATCTGGCCAAACGGAATTTCTATTTCTCCTCGTCATTCGAGAGACAGAGCCGAGAAGATTTCAACGAGTTGGCGACTGTTTTTTTCTGTTCAGTTCGGAAGACCCATGACTGGGTACAGCAGCGCGAGACTCGAAGGCGGAATTCGGCAGCCAGATGAAGAGAAAAGAGGCGGCGAAGGATCGTCTCAACGAGGCTGGCAGTGATCTATCGACAAATTTGTGCACATGCATTTATTTCTGTTTCTCTAAAGCTATTCGGCTGGATACCGAGTCCTCATTCCTCGTTTCTGGTGAAAATGGCCTGAGCCGAAACGATGGGAAGAATATCACGTGGAGTGTGTTTCAACCAAACGACCACAGAACGGCGGGAATCAACCAACGAACCTCTTCATCAGAATGTGCGCATGTGCATGTGTGTGTGTGTTTGTTTGTGCGGGAAAGAAAGGTGGGACTTAATGTTTGGTTCCTTTCGTTTAGAAGTAGGTTTTACGAGACTACCGGAAGATTACTTATTTATGAAGTGTATTCACACTATTTCATTTAAAGTGATTATTTTTCCATAATCTGATGAGTAAGCATTGTGTTTTCATTGAGTTTCACATGGCCTTTCTTTTCACAAAGACATACTCTTTCGGGTTGGAGCCAACTGCTTTTTAGATCTCACCGCAACTGGTCTCTTCAATACCCCAGCGGGACTCGAACTCTTGCAGCGCTGCGTTTTATTTTCGTAACACTCGAGGCAATGTGGCTGTTCACTTCAACCGACCTTCACCCAACACTTTTACTCAAGAGGAAAGTGAGCTCAACGATTATGAAACAAGAGATTTCTTGAAACCCAACTTTTCTTCGCAGACATTACTTATATTCGATTTAAGTAGTCTTCAAGTCTATCAGTTTGTTAGCCCGGGCCAGAAATGCTGATTTAAGCATTGTTAGATGTGTTTTTCTCACGATCACATGAGACGAACTCAACTATCTAATTCACTGCGTTAGATATCCAATTTGCTGCTGTTTCCTCGTTATATGTTCTACCTTTTTGCGTTTAGATGCCATAATAGAAAGTTTACAATTACAAGTCACCTGTAAGACATATTTTATCCTTTTTTTACATAACTGAATCAAAATGTGCTTTAAAGTTCAGCTGAACGATGATATGAGAAAACATAAAGTACTGAAATATTGACATATCGGACCATACTCTGACTAATTTGCCCAAAATGATACCTTTTCCA